CCATGGCTGCTTCACGGCCTTTTTTACATCAGGCTCCAAATGGAGGGTTGTCTGTGGACTTCTTATTTATGCAAGTTTGGTTTGTGTGCAGTTATTTTCCTGTCATTACAGAAATCTTCATTTTATTTGTGATAATAATAATATCCCATTTATTAAAACAAGATTTAAAAAATAATCAGTGTTGCTGACTTTTGTTGTCCACCAAATGTTTGTCGGTTCATGAAAAACCCTGAAGATAATTTATGAAATTATAAGTTTGCCAAAAATTAAAAGTAGTGGCAGTCGTGATTTGTTTTTATATTAAAATGAATGTGAATGACATCATCCAGCTGATTGATCTGTGCGATAATCTCGAGATTTAGCAAATTTCTTTTTGATGTTTCTTTTATTTCCTTATTTTTCTTTCTATAAGTTATTATCCAAGATCATTGTTATTATCAATCAATCAGGGTTGATTTATTTTGAATGATTTATTGTTTCATTTATATTTAAAAGTTATTGAGTAAAAACTGGGGAAAAAACAACAACAAATTTTTACGTTTATTTTTCATATTTAGGGGAATTACCAGAAACATTTTGGTGATTATTTTTTAATTATTCTATAAGACTGCCCTTAAAAATTCTAAGCTATTTGGTCAATGATTATATAACATTTTCACTTCCAGCGAACAAAATGCAACAGAAATCATTTGACCTCAGTTATCTGGTTTTAAGTTAAAGATTTAAATTAAAATGTGATTAACTGATGGCCCTGATTAGTTTCTGTATATTGATTGAAACAATGAAAGTAACGTATACGTTAAAGGTTCATTTTTGTTCGTTAACAGAGAAGCATCTCTGACCTTCTTGGCAAATCGTTCGTATTCAAAGGCGATCTCTCTGCGCTGATCGCAGCTCCGTCTCGTCAGGATGTCGATGATGGTCTGTTCGTCCACACCTGCAAATTTGTCAAAGAAACTAAGTTACTGTTTTCATACTCAACTACCAAATATACAGACGTCAAAACAACTTTCACCTGTTGATTGCATACATGTCTTTTATTATTTTTCTAAAGAATCAGAGATCACACATTCTCACAGGGCCAGTGGTTCAGGTATCCGTTATCATTACAAGTGACTTTGACCCTGATAAACTGTTCCTCTGATTATCTCCAGCAGTTTCTTTTGTTCTGATGCTGGAAATCTCTGCCGAGGGACATCCTGCTTTTCCAGCAGCTCTCACAAAGGAAGCTGGAAAATGGAGGCCGAGCCTCGCTCAGCAAGTCCTCTGCAGCGGTCTGAGTGAGTCACTTTCCAGGCAGATGAAATTATGTTGTAGTTTGAAGAGGACAGATGTGAACAGATGTGTAACCCTGTGATTCAGAGTGCTGGGAGCTTTTATTTGTTCAGATTTTATGTCCCCGTGTTCTTCCTTCCTCTTTCCATCAGGATTTTTTTGTTGTTGCTCAACCTTTTTGCTGTTTTTGTAAATATTACAATAATTAACCTCAGAACAAGTTTGTTATTAACAAGACAAACACTCCTT